TGTTGTTTGGCGGGCCTGGGCTGGATTCGAACCCGCCACCTTAGGTGTATGTGGCTGGCGCCTTAGCCACTTGAGCCACAGGTGCTGAGCCTGAAAACATTAACAATATGGTCAGGACATCACCAAGAAGAGGGACGTGTCTACCAGTGACTGTGTTAAGATAGAAACAATACAAATCAATGTAAGGGTGTGAACTGCCGTCTCCATGCATGGCTTGTAAACATGTTACAGAGAAGAACTAGAAGAGTGTGGCTGTCCAGGAGTCAACATGTTATCTTCAGGACAAAGAATATAAGTAAAAATTAAAAAAGGCTGCGTGCCTGTAGCTCAGTGGTTAGGGTGCTGGCCACATATACCCAGGCTGGCGGGTTTGAATCCAGTCAGGGCCTGCTAAACAAAAATGACAACTGTAACAAAAAATGGCTGGGCATTGTGGTGGGTGCCTGAAGTCCCAGCTACTTGGGAGGATGAGGCAAGAGAATCACTTAAGCCCAAGAGTTTGAGGTTGCTGTGAGCTGTGACACCACGGTACTCTACCAAGGGTGACATAGTGAGCCTCTGTTTCAAAAAAAAAAAAAGAATATAAGTAAAAAAAGATTCCTTGAATAAATTGCATAACTGGTATAAATAATCGTGAGTTGACAAAAACTGGGGCCTTATGAAACTCATGAGTGGGGCTGGAGCAATAACGTTAAGCAGAGTGCATACGTCTGGAGAAGTCAGCTGGACAGCCCTGGCAGCAGAGTGAAGGAACAGGCTTCGCCAGGGCTCCTGGTTGTATTCCACTGAAATATTGGAATAGCTAGGACACCTCTGGAGCTGTGAGTTGAAGCTGGTCAGAGCTGAAATTGAATCCTTACCTTGGTTATTTGGGTAACCCTGGGAAGTGACAATCCTCAAGGCTTCAGTTTCCTTTCTTAAAAAAGGTAATACATTGAATCCCAAACACGCTGAAAAGGAGGTAACGTGAAAACATCTGATATGAGGCATGAGAAGTGATCAGTATGTGTTCTATCTCCCCTTTTCTTGTGTGGTCACAAATTTTCCTGTGTAGAGAGGGGTCTTTAGCCTAACCCAGTTTAGGGAATCTTAGTCACCAGCCTTTGCATGTACTTTACCCATCAAGAGGAGCCCCTCCTGAATGTCCAGTCATCCTCATTCTGCTGGATAAAACTTCCTTGTAAGCGAATAAATCGCAACATGGTCAGTGCCTTGAGGGTTTGGCATAACCTTTGGAAAATTTAGTTTTGCAAACTAATTTTGGTTGAATGAATAAAATTGTTTCTAAACCTGCCCCAAACTGAAGACTACTCTCAAATACTTCTTATCTCTGACTCTCTTCAATAATTATAAAGTCAGATAACTTTGGGGGTTAGGAAGCTCTTAAAAGATTAGCCGTGTTAGTGATTAAGGCGGTGTTTTCACCTTTTAAAAAATCTCATGCCATACTTGAACCTGCAGCTAAACTTCCACAGCACACTTAAATTATGTTGATCAAAAAAAATTTAATGAAAGAATATATTTACTGTGTTTGAACTTCTTTCAAAAATAATTAATGATCATTAAAAATTTCTACGGCACACCTCTCATGAAACACTGGTTGAAAATCATTGGACTAAGGAATTGTGGAACCTGACACAAAACTGGAAAGGCACAACTGCTTACTGCTACCCATAGCCATTGCTTTCTTTGTGCTTATGGATTGACTAAGATTTGCTTGGTAGAGTACTATGCCTAGCTAATTTTTTTTTTTTTTTATAGTTTTTGGCCGGGGCTGGGTTTGAACTCGCCACCTCTGGCATATGGGGCCGGCGCCCTACTCCTTTGAGCCACAGGCATCGCCCAAGCTAAAAATTCTTTAATGCTGGAGGTGGGCATGTAAACAGCTTTTGCTAAGATAGCTTCTTTCTAGGAAATTCTGCTTTTTTGCCTAGGCCCTGACTGATCCTTCCTCTTTGCTAATTCCTATTTCCTTTCTGGAATTCAGATATAATAGCTGGTGCTGCAGCAACCATTTCCATACCACGAAGGAAAGGCCAGAATAATTATGAAACTGTTAATATTCTCGAGCTATAGAATCAATCCCAGCAACCGCCTATTTCTGAACTTGTTTCCTAAGAAATCTCTAATTTCTATAAGCCTGTTTGAGTTTTAGTTACTTGCAGTCAAATACAACCCAAAATTGATATAGTAAAATTTAGATTGTATTTAAAATATTATGCAGGCCAGCCCATAATTTGTTATATTTATCACCACCAGAACAAGGTACCTTGAATATTTCTGAATTAAATGATAACTTATTCTTTCACTATTAATCTGTCTATGACTAGAATTTATCTGTAGTAAGCTATAGTTTTTAATTTCTTGAATTTATCACATTACATTTAGATAACTACAAATTTTTAAACTGAAAGACCAGGCAGGCTTTCTGGAACCACAAATGTAAAAGAATCTGGTTTTTTCTCAATAGCCGTTTCTTTCCTGTTTGTCATGATAACTCAGAAATATCTCTGCCCATGGCATATGCCAAAGTTTTGATTTGGGGATAAAATTATGTTTCCACTCTGCAATGCTCAGGACTATACAAAGATACCATTCTTTGGAATATGTAGGTTAGTTCACTTTCATAAATATATTCCATTATAATTCGTGCTTCCCCTTCTATAGCATAGAGCTTGTCACAGGGAAACAGGCAATTAGCCAGTGACATTTCCCAGCTTATACTCAGGAAACATCGTATGTCAGGTCCTTGCTGATAGGAATGGCACTGATGATTTGTTTCCAGGCCTGGCCCAGAGCATAAAACCTCTCCACAGGTGGTCCTCCTTGGGGAAGAAGGCAAGTCCCATTCAATTCCCAGAAGGACCTTGGAAGCTTTGTGTTTAAAGAACTTTCATTAACTTGGGTTCCTAAAAATGGAGGGAAGAAGAGCAGCCTTGCTGTGTTTACCTTCCCAGAACAGTTTGATAAACTAGAAATAAACTATTATGTTTGAGCCATTATATGTTTTGGGTTTATACCATTTAGAACTTAGCTTATACAAGGTGTGTGAAGAGCTGAGTTTCGTTTACTTATTTATTTGATATTTGACTGCCTCCCGTGCCATCCCTGGCTCTGTGCCCTTGTCTTCCTTTCTAATCAGAGTGGCCCTGGGGAATGACTCCACCATTCCATGCAGTGGATCCAGATCTCAGATAAGGCAGTAACATGTTTACTACCATAAAGTTTCCATTCAGGGGCTGTAAACCTAAACCTGCATTTTCTCCCCACACTTTCCATTTCCTAGATACATTCTTTCCAGAAGTGTCCTCCAGCTTTGCCCTCTCTCCTCTGCGGACTTCCTGATGGTGGCTAATCACCTCCAGCTGTGTGGGCTCCTTCTCTGCTGGCCTAGTTTCATGTGCCTGTGACAGGAAAACAGGCCCCAGCAGGAATTTCCAAATGCCATTTAAGGCAACAGAAATCTCCCCCACCAAATGAAAGCTTCAGCTACAACCCAGTCTGTAAATCTCCTCTGGTGCCTGAAGGTGCCTACTGTGCTCAACGCCAGAGCACATTTCAAAACAACTGAGAGTGTGTTATAAATGTCTTACCACAAAAATAGGTGAAGGTGATGATTACGTTAGTTTGATTTAAACATTCCACATTGTATATCAAATCATCACATTGTACCCCCTAAATGTATACAGTTATGATTTTTATTTTTTGAGACAGAGCCTCAAGCTGTCCCCCTGGGTAGAGTGCTGTGGCATCACAACTCACAGCAACCTCCAACTCTTGGGCTCAAGCGAGTCTCCTGCCTCCGCCTCCCAAGTAGCTGGGACCACAGGTGCCCGCCACAACGCCCGGCTAGTTTTTGGTTGCAGCCGTCGTTGTTTTGGCAGGCCGGGCTGGATTCAAACCCTCCACCTTAGGTATATGTGGCTGGTGCCTTAGCCACTTGAGCCACAGGTGCCGAGCCTACAGTTATGATTTAATAAAAATTAAGTTTAAAACAAAACAAAACAACTCCTCTGATTGAAGTGGAAATGGTGGTGGTGAAGCTTCTGACAGATCAGAGCCAATTCCGAGGTAAAGACCCAAACCCATTATCTGGTGGGGAGTTGAACATGTCACCATGGAGCTTTTGTACTAATAGCATCTCTGCCTTCAGATAGTCTCAAATTCTCAGATGTTGGTCTCAGCAAGTTGATGCACTTAGGTAAGATCAGAAATTCACGTCACTTACCTCAGAACTGGTGCAAAATCTTATGGGAATAATCCTAGAGAGTTCCTGGACCTTGGAATGTCACTCACAGCTGACTGGAGAAGCACTGTTGGGATTTGTGACATTTAGAGTTCAGTATTGAGAATTAGAGAACCTCTGAGGTCTTTGAGGCTGACTTCTTTTCCTTCCTATTTAGCAGAACCAAATATAAACCCCCAGGTAGTATGACATTTTCTTTGATTACTCCTTGGTCATCTCAGTATGACTGAGATGAGGGCTTGAAAATATTCTGATTTACATGAGTTGGTCTCAGTGAGCTGGTGTCACTCTCAGGGAGGTAGATGGAAGGAGACAGGTTCTGAATTTCTTCTTAGCTACCGTTCAGGCCATAGGTTATCCTCATATGGCCCTTAGTGAAGATCTACCAGGATTTCTGAGAACACCCCACTTCCTATGGCTGGCAGGACTAGGGAAATGGGAAGCTGGGGTTTAGTGGGCCCACTTCCCAGGGGCAGGGGTGTTAAGAAATAACACACTGAGCTCAGGAATTCAAGACCAAGCTGAGCAAGAGTGAGACCCTGTCTAAAAAAAGAAAAAATAGCTGAGCATTGTGGCGGGCACATGTAGTCCCAGCTACTCCAAAGCCTGAGGCAAAAGGATTGCTTGAGCCCAAGATTTTGAGGTTGCTGTGTACTATGACACCACAGCACTCTACTAGGGTGACAAGGTGGGACCTCAAAACAAAACAAACAAAAAAACCCCCAAACCTAAACCACATTGAGAATGTTTGTACGTAGCTTTGGTTCATGTTTTAAAGTGTATTTTTATTTACAAAGTGAGAAGATGCATTACAAATGGATGATGCAGTTACAAACAGATAACTGGTAACTCCATTTTCATGAAAAAGTATATAAATATATTACAGTAAATTCTATATAGTAAACATTAGAAATTGATACAGTAAACTTTTGCTACTTTTTTTCTATGCCGTATTATTGTCATTTGAAGCTTAAATACTGGTTCCAAGAGTCCCCTATAAAATTACTCTACTTTATTAAAATAGTGGAAAAATTTTTGCTATAAACAAGAATAATACATGAAAAAGAGACTCAGCATGTCCTTGTAACAACGTCCACTATAATCAAACGCTGGCTTTAATTATCCCTAAGATCTGCATTGTTCAGTTAGTGTTAACTTTTTAAAATAATTGTCAGAGGTTAAAGTAGCTGTAAAAATACAGCATTTCACCATTATGTATTGTAATGAAAAATACTCTAAGAAGAGAGTAAGCACAATGGTACTGTACGGACTTGCTGCTCTGTGATCGTCATTTCAGAGAGAGAGCAGGAGTCTGCTGAGGCTAAGGAGGGAGGAGAAACATAACCAGAAGGCTCTTTTCCTCTCATTTCAGAAGCTGAAGCTGCTCTTTTTGCTCTTCTTCAGCTTGAAGACGTCTCAGGACATAAAGGATGACTTGATAGCAGAAAATATATTGATCCTAAAAAAAGAGAGAGGTAGAAGACTTTAGATGTATTATGTGAACATTATTATAGTAAATATACATAATTTATATATTAAGAAGTTTAAGCAAAGCCCAGGAATGAACTCATTGAAGATAATTAAATATGAAAATACAGTAGAAGTAGTGTTCTTTTAATATACAGTAGAACCTCTGTAAGTTCACTACCCGAGGGACTGTAACCAACTGGCCAACATGCAGAGGAGGTCAACATGAGGACCTATGCATACTGTTCTGATATGTACATATTGTACATGCCCAGTCTATGAAAATCAGTTCAACTTGAAGAGGAAGTCAAAGTAGGGAGGTGGTCAACTATAGAGGGTCTACTGTATACATATATGTATGCATTACTATACTATTATTTGAAATGATGTTTGAGGGGTTTTGAAAATATGGAAAAATTTTGTCAGAATGCTAGATATAAAAGGCAAGGTATAGAATTGTATGGTGTTATAAAAATTAGCTTAACTAAATGAGAAGGGAAAAAGGCTGAGGGATAAGGTAGAACTATCCCAGAGTGTTAACTGAAGTTATTTGAGATTGGTGTTACTTGCATTTTTTTATGCTTTGATAATATTTAATGGAAAAATAACCATTTAAAAAACTTTCTTCTAGTTTTATTAAATTCACTTGATGTTTAAAATGTCAAAATGTTAATAGCTAAGAGGCCAGTAAAATAATATTTTTGAGATATTTTGGACCAAAAGTATGGAAATCTAAATTTTTGAAAATGAACTCTTAGTGAAATTCTTTATTACGTTAATGGTGTAGGGATCTTATTATGTCAATGGTGTAGGGATCTGATTCCTTCCTTGGCAAGGAATTAATGAATCTGAAAATAAATTAAAAAAAAATCACAATAACCATAGTTAAATCTTATTTAAAACAGTTGCATGAGTGTATGTACAAGCCTGAATGTGTGTACACATATATTTTGGACAAGATACATAAAAACATTTCCTAAAAACATTAAAAGCGCTCTGAAAATAGGAATACAAGTGGTCTTTTCAATTTATTTTCTGCTTGTTTGTATTTTAACTTTTCCACATTTTCTGCACATTCATCCTTAATTCTTTCTCTTACACCACATACAACTCATTAGCAAATCCACTCCACATAAAGTTCTTTTTCATTATGTCCACACCTACCATTCCAGACTGAGCCATCCTACGGGCTGCCTAACTGACCTTCCTGCTTCTAATTTTGCCTTCTCTTCCCCAGATCAGGTATCATTTTAACCTAACAGCCAGAGAGGTCCCTTAAAATGTGCATTAGATCATGCTACAATCCTACCAGATGTGCGTTAGATCATGCTACAATCCTACCACATGTGCGTTAGATCATGCTACAATCCTACCACATGTGCCTTAGACCATGCTACAATCCTACCACATGTGCGTTAGATCATGCTACAATCCTACCAAACGTGCCTTAGATCATGCTACAATCCTACCAGATGTGC